AGCTACATCTTCCAGCACTCGGACGTTGATATGATTATTGCGGATGCCGAGTTTGTGGGATTATTGGACGAGTACAAGAAAGAGAGACCGAGCATACCGATATTGGTCGATACTGATACGGACGCGACCGAAGGCGAGCTCTCAGGCCCTTTCGACGATGCAGTACTCGAAGGACTGAAGTACGATATCGAACAGGGCGGCAAAGGCTGGGCTGATCTAGAGGCGCAGGCAAAGGACGAGGAGGATGTCATGGCACTTGCATACACCAGTGGGACAACGGCACGACCAAAGGGGGTCGAATATACACATCGCGGCGTCTACCTCGCTGCAATGGGCAATGTTATTGAATCCGGACTAAACTATCACACGGGCCGTGCAAAGTATCTCTGGACTCTTCCCATGTTCCATGCCACCGGTTGGACCTTCCCATGGTCTGTAACTGCCGTGCGAGGAACACACTACTGCCTCCGCAAGATCGATTACCCAGAGATCTGGCGCCTACTCAAGGAAGAAGGTATCACGCATTTCAACGCTGCGCCTACTGTCAATACCCTCCTTTGCGCGGCAAAAGAAGCAGAACGTTTACCTCAATCAGTGAGAGTGACTGTAGCGGCAAGCCCACCAAGCGCCTGGCTTTTTGAACAGATGTCAAATCTAAACTTGAATCCTGTACACGTCTATGGCCTTACGGAAACCTACGGTCCAATCACCAAAGGTTACCATATGCCTGAATGGGATATACTTCCGGAGAAAGTCAAATACGATCGTATGGCACGACAGGGTCATGGTTTCATCGTCGGCAAAGCGACGCGGGTCATCAAGACAGAGCAGCCAGAGGGCGTTCTCACCGACGTAGCAAGAAACGGCAAAGAGATAGGCGAAGTCATCTTCGAGGGCAACATCTGCGCGAAAGGATATTACAAGGATGCCGAGGCGACGCGTAAGTTGTGGGAAGGTGGCTGGTTGCATACGGGCGATTTGGCGGTTTGGCATCCAGATGGCGCGATCCAAATTCTGGATCGGGCGAAGGACATCATTATTAGTGGTATGTTTTTGTATCTCCTGAAATTCTCCTGTGTTTGCATGTTCTCTTCAAAACAACATACTGACAATACATCTCACAGGCGGTGAAAACATATCGAGTGTAGCTCTTGAAGCTATGCTGTCTACTCACCCCTCCATTCTCGAAGTCGGAGTGTGCGCCGTTCCTGATTCGCACTGGGGCGAACGACCCAAGGCTTTTGTTACCACGAAAGACGGAACGAACAGCGAAACCCTAGGCCAAGAAGTGATACAATGGGCTAAGGAGAATAGTAATATCAGTCGATTTATGGTACCCAGAGAGGTTGTGGTTGTGAAAGAGCTGCCTAAGACGAGTACGGGTAAGATCCAGAAGAACGTTCTTAGGGAGTGGGCGAAGAAGGGTAGTGTAGAGTAGACTTGGTTTAACGGATATTTTGTGTCTATTTGCGATATGTGCCACCTGCATGTACGCGCCGCGCCACATATGAGAACATGCCAAAGCACTATGAGAAGGAAAGTAACCGATGTAGGATGTATGTTAGATATATATGGAAGGTCAGTCTTGCGAGATGAGTGCTAATTTCAATACCACGCTCAGTCATTGTTGGCCCAATAACAGTAATACAAGATCTGTTCGAAAGACGCATCATCCTCTTCTCTCACGAACACGAGCAAGATGTTTAGCAGCAGCAAGTTTATATATCTTATGTGACGTTGTGTTCGACGCGCTGGCTACCGACAATAAAAACCTTAAACGTGCAGAGGCAGCAGCCATAGCATATGCCAACATGATAGTTCCTACACGAATGCCTCCACGTGTTCTGGTCCCTTCATTGCTCCATTCACTGTCCATCCCGCGACTAGGTATCAATACTCTCACAACACCCACCCATTAACCCCAACGAACACTACATCAAATCAAGCTTGCGCTGCCATGAACACAACTACCCAATTTGGTGTCCAAAGCCCCTCATACCGCATCTTATATGCCTGCCATATCACCATGTGAGCCGTTGCAAGTACCAATTTTCCCACAACTGCAACACCAATCGTAACGTTCCTCCGCAGCACCGAGCCACCGACGTTATCGCTAGCGATGGTGATGAGATAACCAATCCAGAAACACGTAGATATTACGAGAGAGATGGAAGCAAAGTATGGGAGAAGGGGTGCAGAGCCAGTTGGCGTTCCCTCAAACTAGATGATATCAATACGTATACTCTAGAGGTTGATGAAGAATTAGAGTTCTACTTACGAGATCTGTGGCCCAGACAGTAGTGAAGATGGCGCTGATCAAGAAGACGGGTGCACAGATAGTGTCTGTCGGCGCGCGTGAGGCATGAGCGTGCTTTGCGACGAGTCGATATTCGTTGGGGCGGGTGCGCTGCGTCGCTGCACCATAGGAAGGCAGAAGAGGTTCATTTGACATCGTCCAGAGCACTTTGTTTAGGTAAATATTGGAAACAGAATATCTGGGTGGGAAGTGAGTGTTGAAGTCGGGGAAGAGAAGGTGGGGTAATCGAAGAGTGGTGGTGCAAATGAGTAAGGCTCAGCCTAACTGTGCCACTTCGTTACCTTTTACAGGCGGTCTCTGTCATGCACTCGATGTTTGTACCGTTAAGAATCAAGGTCGGCCTGAAAGCAGATATGGATTTCTATTATGACCGATCAACCACAAACACATCATTCACCCACACTTGCACCATCAAGACCCCGATAAGCAAATACGGGATCTCGAAGCTTGGTAGTGGTTGCGTCGATCCTATCATATCGACAGCATCGAAAATTGTGTATGTGTTTCTCTTTGCAGAAGACGGAAGTTGAAGGAAGTGTAGACATTTTCCGGGCAAGCGTGATGTTATGGTATCGCTGAGTAAGGCACACTTAACACAGATCGCTTGAGATGGCTCCCAGCACTTTAAAATATGTGTTTGACAAAACAATCTTTTCTAAATCCTCTTCAAATGAAAAGTCTATCGTCAGTCACTCTAGCGAAATGAACATGCCAAAACTGCTCTATGTTCCAGGATCCAACAAAAACGCCTATATCGTCTACCTCTTCCTTTTCTCTTCCTCTTCTCCCTTCTTCTTGGCCGCAGCCTTCTTCGCTTTCTCCATTCTCCCCACCGCAGCCTCAGCCCCAATTCCACCAAAGACCAGCCCAACACCAAGCCATTGCATGCCTGTAATCTCGTGACCAAACCACCACACGCTCCAAACCATTGTCAACATCTTTCTCGTAACCGTGACAGTAACAAGCAGCAACGAGCTGAAGTGAGCCAAGGTATGGAAGATGAAAACCTGGCCTATAGCGCCACAGGCTGAGAACATGAGGACGTCCCAGCCTACAGCGGGGTAGGTGGTTATGAAAGACAGCGCGTCAGAGAGTTCACCGGAGGTAGAACGGGGGTCGAGTCCGATCCAGGGAGCGAGGGGAGTGGAAGCGAGGAGCGGGGTGATAAGGAGGTATGAAACTGTCAATGCTGTAGACATGATATTCTGCGCACACATCATTTGGGGCCCAGTGAAGCCTTTGAAACTGCTGAAGATGTGATCTTGAACTGTGTTGGTCAGACCGTCGAAGAGTAGATTGACACCGAGTAGAACAAGACCGATGGTTTGCGACGCGTCCGCATTGACACCTTTCTTCGCGGCCTTCTTCGCAGTTGACGGGCTGTGCAAGGTAAAGACGGCTACACCCAGTGTTACAAAACCAACGACGGCGTACTTGTACATTGGGTACCGCTTCTGGAAGAGCGAGATGTGGAGGAACATGACAGGTAGCAGCTTGCAGCTTTTAGCCAAGATGAAGGTGACGTAGTCGATGTGCTTCAGACTCGCGTATCCGAAGGGAGAGGCGAGCGACGAGGTGACGGCGATTCCAAGGAGCGGCACCAGGATGTCTTTGGAAGGGAATATAGGGAGCACTTTGCGAAGGCCGGTTTTGGGGTCTTTCTTCGCGGAGAGGTTGAGATATAGGAGGCCGGTCATGGCAGCAAAGGCGGATTGGACCGTATTGAGGAAGATGGAGTATGTGAAGCGCTCGTTCTTGGGACCGTGGGTGGTGGTCGTTAACCGCTCTTGGATCCATGCCCAAGTCATGCTGTCTTGCTGTCAGTCAGGGTCCTCGAATCCAATCTACCCTCGCGCCCTGTGACTTACAAACTCCCGTATATACCGGCGACGCAAATGACCAACTGGAACAGGCCTGCTTCCTTCTGCTCCTGGGGGTTTCGCGCATGGAGCTCCGCTTGCTCCTCCAGCTTCTGCTCGATCGCATGGACTGCGCCGTCTAATTGGTGATGCGCATTTCCATTGGCACCTCCCTTGGTCTCGTTGACCTTGCGTCGGACTGCTTCTGCCATTGCGGGTGCTCTATCACGGTGGTCCCTCGATTGACGTATTGGTGATGATTTCGTGCAAGGGGCGCGCGGGCGGGACTATAGCTTGTTCTGGCGTATACAAAGGAGCGGACAGCGCAGTGAAGAGCGCGCGAAGAGGGAAGTCAGCAAGACCGTGTTTGTAGAGCGACTGCGGGTGGAAGCGACAAAGTACACCTGTCTTTAGATTTACATTGCATTGACCAAAGATTCAACCGTGGCATCAAGGGCCCGGAGCTAAGACGGAGCTAAATGAGCGGCACGAGCCATGTTTGAGCCTCAGGGATACCCACTTCGCTAATTCAATCGATGCGGGGGCGACGCTTCACTCGGCCTGTCGGCGAGCTGGTGTGAGTAGACACAGAACACGTCTGGGAGAAGCTATGTATTTCGATTCAAATTTTGCTTGAATATACCAGTCAGTTCCTGAGTAGATATCTATCTAGGCAGTGGCTACAAGCAGCGTCAAAGCCTCGAAGCGTACCGCTCCAGCCGTCATAAAGGTCGTAAATGCTCGCTAAAGTTGATCCAGAAAAACGCGCCAAACGCCAGCAGATGCAAAACCCACTTTTCCCCAAGAGCCAGCCAGAATGCAGCTCACGCCTCACCTCTGACAATCTTCGCAACAGCGCTCTTCACTAGCACCCACATGGGCCCAGCGTTGACTTCCTTGCCGCCACCTTCCTCCATCCCGCATTTCCTCTTCCACGCGTCCCTCCATCCTCGCTCAGTATCCTTCTGCTTGAGCCTCATCAGCTGCCCCGCTCGCTTTCCTTGCCTTCTGTACCCCGCCATGAACGCGTCCCATTCTCTCCTCTCCTTGACGAAAATGACTACACCGTTTCCTGCATCGATTGGCTGGCTACCCCCAGATAGGATCCGCGCCTCCCACGCGCTACCCATGGACTGGAAGGTGAAGTTTGAGCTGTGCAGAACATAGTAGCGTTTTCGCTTGCCGAACTTGGAGGCTGCGTTGGAAGAAGGCGTAATCCAGTGTGTCGCGCGAGAATAGATGCCGTCTGCCAGGGCTTCATGAAGAAGCTCAGAGGGAATGTATTGTCGGCACTGAAGGAGGAGCTTATTGCGGAGCAGACTAATGTCGATGTCTGGATGTGCGGTGGGTATTTGTGGCGAGTGAGATAGAAGTGCTTTGGTCTGTGTGCGTGTTGAGCGCGCTGGTGGTTTGGATATGCGTCCCGAGGCCCGTATGACTGTGACTGGGTTGCTGAATTGGTGGGGTGTGATTGTCTGCGTTTGAATAGGCGCCATGGCTGGAGTGGTACTCAGTTCAGAGTAGTGTTTGGTGTGCGGGTCGTAGCAAGTCTTGTATTCTTCAAACTGTGGTTCCGTACAGTGCCGGCTGGGAGTAAAGTCGTCGAGTAAGGATTTCAGTGTGGAGGAGCAGAAGCGAAGAAGAGAGGGAACATGCGGTCAAGAAATCATCTTTAACCATCATGCACCCCTTCCTAGAAGAGCATAGCTCCTGAAAAGAAACAGCTGCCATCCCAGCCTTCGGAAATCAGTCGGGTGCCAAATCTGTCTCTGCCCTTAGTGCCCTAGTCTACCAATCCCTGGGCGCGATCCTGGTCTAGGCAAGCACAGAACAGTGGAAGGATTAGCGAGCCCTGCCCGCCGAACCTCACCGTATGGGGCGTGGGGGAAGGATTGTACAGCGTGTGCAGCGACAATTTCCTCGACTTGTTGCTGTTGCTGGTACATGTGCCGTGGAATATTTCGCCTCAACCTTCTTCAACGCTGTCTCTACAGCTGACTTCACAAGGTGCAGGGTGGCACAGGCCGGACGTCTTGCGCAGGTGCTTCGTCCGAGCGTGGCACTAATGACGTACTCCGCCTGAAGGGTCCAACGGTTCGGACAGCCTCGTTTTGCACGTGTAATGCTAACCTTATGTCCCTTTGGCCGGCATCACCCTCAAGCTTTCGCAAGCACAGCATCACGCATCGAATTTAGACACTAGCATCATAGAATTCTAGATATTTATAATAGATGTTGTTTGGTTGTATCGGAGTGTCGGTAGGGAGAGCAAGGAAGGGGGAAGGTGTTCGGGCAAGGAGTGAGGGAGTGATTAGGAAGGTACATCGGAGTGTTGTGGTAGAGACCAGGAGATGGCGAGAATCATCTCAGTTCTTCTCCAGCTCTTCTTCGCCAAGAAAACCCAAAGATGGATGTCAGAGCTGCTACCCATGAGCAGATGTACTATCCGGATATCAAAGGCCATAACGTCATGACATTCGTGAGCCGCTCAGCGTGCACTCGGATCTCTCTCGACAATAGAAAGAAAAGTAAACAATGCTCCAGACAATCCATGGTATCCATCAGTAACAGCAAGTAAGAAACTAAGCAAATCCATGCTTTTTGTTGACGGTTGTCGTGGCCTCCATGACTAGAGGCATAAATGCAGATGGCGACGAATATAAAGATTTCGCAGTTTATAGCGAAGCCTGAGCGGCCTCGGGCTGTCTGGCGACCCCCAAGAGAGTGGGCAAGGCCCTCAAGGTGTAGCGACAACGCCGCGAAACTCCTAACGGCGCCGAGGTTGGGTAGCAGATGCATATCTACGAAGCGATCTACTCCTGGGCCTGGCTGCGACGCATCTTTTCAGCCTCAAGGTTCTCATAGAGAAGATAGAGCGCCTTCTCGTTAGCACTGGCACTACCAGTGATGGTAAACATGCGCTCGCCAGTGTCGTCATGGGGTGCCTTCGCAATGGAGATACGGGCGTTGGAGGTCTTGCGAATCTCGCTGATCTTGCTACCGCCGCGTCCAATGATACAGCCAACCATGTCAGATGGGATGCTGATGTTCTGAGTCTGCATCTCTTCGCCATCTTCGGTATGCGTTGGGGGCGGAGGCCTGCTCGCGGCATCGGAGCCAGATCGTCGGGAAAAGGCAGGAGGCGAATCACTGAAATCAGCGCCATGACCAGTGCGGTTGTACGAGCGTCCGCCCATACCACCGCTAGGTGCACCACCACCGTTGGATAGTGGGACGGGGCCAGCGCCAGGCTGAACCCTGACGGCAGGATTGTAGAGGACAGTACCGTAGCCGCGCTCGGAGTCGTCGATGAGGCACTTGCCAATCTCCCAGATAGCCTTCTCGATACCGCCAGGCGATCCTTGGACTTCGACGATGCGCTCGGTGGACTGGGGGAGCATCTCCTTCTGCGCAACCATACGAACGCCAGAGGCATCCTGAATCTGCTTGATCTTCAGGCCCTGGCGACCAATGATGGTACCCATTTGGTTGTGCGAGATGAGCAGGCGGATGGCTACAGAAGTTAGCTTGGTACCAGCTCTCATACGCAGCCATGTCGCTGGGAGAGCGCCGTGGTGTCGCAATTGTACATACGATGAGTGCCGTCCGTGCGGATAACGCCGCCCATGCCCATTGCAGGAGCGCCTTCGAGCAGACCTTTGGCGACTAGGCCATATGCCTTGGCGATGCCAGAGAGGCTGCCAGTGACGGAGAGGACACGGTCATGAACACCTTGAACGACCTTGCTGACACCGGCGCGCACGCCAGTCTCGTCGCGCAGGTCAGCAACGTTCTTGCCCGCCTTGCCAATAATGACACCGGCCTCCTTGGACGAAACAATGGCTCGAAGGGTGAGCTGCGACTCGGCGTATTCCTCTTCGGTGCGCGGGGCTACTTCGCCCTCACCGTCGATGTTGAGGCGGTCCAGTTGGTCGGCGACGCGGCTGGCATCTTGACCGGGACCGGGTTGGGGCTCTTCTGAGGACATGTTGTGGAGATGGTCTAGGGAAGCGCTGCAGCTGCGGTCAGTGACGTAGTTTTGCGACACGCGCAATGTCGCGATACTTACAAGAGACGAAGTTGTGTTGTGGAGACGGAAACGAGACCTAGGTGTAGTGGGGTGGAGAGGGTGAGGAGGACGGGTCGAAACTCTCCAGACTATTGTGTCAAATGTCAGTGACTGTGTCGAGGTTTGTGTTTGGAGGTCGGCATGGAAGCTACTCACTGGCGATTACGGAAGTGGCGGGGGAGGTGGTCGGTGCGGGATAGCGAACAGGTAGATGAGAGGGGGGAGCAAGGGTAGGTGGGAGCGGAGAGGAGGGTTGGGGGACGCGTGGGAGAAGAGAAGAGAGGAGTGTTGTCTGAACCAGTTTGGAGCGTGCAGGTAGAGTGGAGGTAAGGTGACGGAGGGAGACGAAGCCCTGGGTCTGAGCAATATTAGGGCGGCAGATGTAGCTTCTCTTAGCGAGACGGACGAGCCTTGCCGTATTCACAAAGATTGCAGATGCTGGGAGGAAGCTACGGAGGATTCAATGCATTTCATGTCCTTGTGCAGCAGTCGACACCGTTCCTATGGGCAATCACCATGCATGGCCTGCAGGCGTGAATGCATTGAGCTGTTCGCAAGTATCGCGCGCCCCATCATCGAACACAGAACAGAATAGACCCCGCGTGCACAGGCCTTGAAAACGGCCACGTCCCCACGAAGATGCAGCTAAATCAGAGCATCCAGGGTATTGGCTAACGATGGTTGGAATGTGAATGTATCGTGCCGTCCATAATTGCGATTGGCTGAGATGTGCGGATCATCCACTATTCAATTGTTTAACTCAGCTTGAGGACACTGTGACTCTGCCAACCTGTGCACTTGCCCCTACTACCATCAACGCCTGCTACCTCAACACCGCTCAATGCTTTTGTCACGTACGAACCCTACTTCTGCGCCTCGAAAACAACTTTCTGCACCTTCATCTTATCGAACAAGTCATAGCCTTCAAGGGCTTCGCTTAGTGGCATGATCTTGTCAGCCATGAATCTGTCACGGGTTAGCCATCAAATTTCCTCCATGTTCCAGCCTCAAACTTACCCAAGCTTTTCCTGATGCCGCTTTAAGCTTTCCAAAGCCTCCTCGAACACACTTCTCACCGGACACCTTCCCATCTGAACCCTAACGTTCTTGTTGTATGCTTCATTGCCGGTCCAGGGTATCTCGCCATTATGCACACCAACAGAGCTGATGACACCCCAAGGTCGGACAAGCTCATAACCCATGCGAAGGGCAGGCGAAAGTCCGACAACTTCAATGATAATGTCTGCACCGCGACCCTCTGTGAGCTCTTTGACACGTTTGTCCAGGCCCTCGCGATCAGTTTGAAAGTTCCAGGGCTCTGCACCCAGGGACTTGGCGAGTTCCAGGCGAGAGGGAACAGAGTCAACAGCGAGGATATGTTTTGGCTTGTAGTCGGTGATGTTGCAAAGTGCGCAGAGAGCTACAGGGCCACAGCCAATGAGCACGACGACACTGTCCTTGATCTCCTCTGGCGTGGAGTATTGGAAGCCGTTCTTAGCTGCGAACATGCCTGTTGGAAATATATCTGCCATAAGAACTAGGGCCTCGTCTTTGATGCCCGATGGTGCTTTGACGGCCGTCGAGTCGGCTAGAGGGACTCGGACATATTCCGCCTGGCCGCCATCTAGGGCAGGGCAGCCAAACAGCTGGCTCTTGACACATCGCGAAGAGAAGCCGTGGGTACAGTAGAAACATTCGCCGCAGGAGGTTGTAAATGGCGAAACAACACGATCCCCGACTTTGAGTGTCTTAATCGATGAACCTACTTCGTGAACGTGGCCGGTAAACTCATGACCCATCACAAAATCGGTAGCAGATGGTTGATGGCCGCGGAAAACGTGCAGTTCACTTGATGTGTTCAGTCAGAGATGTCGGTAGCATCGATGGTGATTCTAAGTACCTGCCGCACAATGCCGTCTGCGAAGGATTAGTAGGAAGTGATGATGCTGAACTGCTAGCGTACCTTTTCAACTTTGACGATGATATCTCCGGCATCTTGAATCTTTGGAATCGGCCTATCTTCAATCACCACCTTCCCCGGTCCCTTGAATACCACTGCTTTCATGTCGTGTTTGATTACTGCAACTGATTATCGATGGTAAGATACTGAGATGAGCGTGACAAGATTGAAATAAAGACACACGTTTGAGTTGAGAAACTAGGAGCGACCAAGTGGAGCTGGTGGACTACCTATAAGGCGCGATATAGGGCGCGCGCTCTGACGACATCGGACGCGCGAAATGGTCCTCGGTGATGATGTGGTATGGTAGCTTCTGCCCCGCCGAGGTTCGACTGCGGGGTACACACCACGGGCAGTGGAAGTATATTGGCTGCACGGATGTTTCACAGCTTAAATAACATTGCTGAGGTAATGAGCCACGCCTGGAGACACATGGGAAATGTTGAGACTGGTGTCATGAGTTGATGAGTTGCGCGATTCGGTTCTACGGACTTGGACAGCTCATAGCTCTAAGAAGCTCGAAGCTCGAAGTTCACCGCAGCCCTCCGCCGCTTCCGCATCAACATGCCAGCTCGTGGATGAAAAAAAAAATAGCAACAGCACTGTAGGGTCTAGCGTACCATGTAAACCCACCTGAACGCCTTGTCGGAAGTTCAGTCAAACCCAAACGCGTAAACACCTTTCGTAAAATCCAAGCCGTATCGCCATATCCAATCCAAGAATCGCAACAAATACCCATGCAAATATGACGTCGACGGCATCTAGTAAAATGCTCTCCCTCTAGGTGACGGTGCAAAGTAGCTCCTCCTCCAGGATGAACTTGCCCTCCTTGTACTTCTCGCTGGCCTCATATGCCTTGTCGTACTTCCAACCGACAGTCTCCTTGCACTGGCGACAGTGGATGTCTCGTACTATGTGACGTCCTGTGGTCATGTTGCGTTCGTTGGGGTCGGATTCGGTAATGTTTACGACGCTGTCAAAGAGATAGGCCTTGCCGTGCTGGCCACGGAAGTTCTTCGCAATGTTAGCATTCTATTGATGCGTGGAGTTCAAGGCGCGCTGACCCTGCTGAGTATGTCATCGTGGTTGGAGAGATGGGTCTTGCAGTTCTTGCAGCCGTAGATGCGCGACGAGGTGGAGTTGAGGTAGATGTTGTAGGTGAGTCCCATGGTGATGGACAGGCGATCCGACTCGCTGATCGAGGGCTGCTGGGGTGTGGAAGATGCGTCGAGACCGTGGCGGTAATCAGAGCGGTAGTCAGAAGTGGCCACTCGTTGTTGGTCGCCGGCTGTCATACGTGCTGTTGGCGCGGGTGTGAAGGGGACAAAGGTGGCGGGGAGCTAGCGGTGAAGCGTTTGAAGGGCCCGAAGTTTGTGGCTCCCGCTGTTGCGCCCAAGCGCGATTACTATCTTAGGATGTGGAATGAAGCCTTGGATCTGGCCTGGAGGTGACGCCGCTATGCCGGTAACTGGTGGCACGTGCGTATCGGAGCGGGATGACGGAGGCGAGGGGCACTGGTGGGTAGACAGAGAGCGGCGGTAGTGTGACTGGGACGTCAAGTTGGGTTGAATACTCTACACAAGTATCTACGTGGCATGGGCTGAGACTTTGTGGAACCAGACGATGAGGAGTGCAGTGAGAGAGCTCCAGGATCGCCAGGCTAGTGCATGTGGTGAGATGGAGCGGGGCCGTCTTGGAGGAGTAAGGTGGTCAGCTGGCGACGCACGCGGACGGTATTCTGTCCAAACTCGAAGAATTCTAGGGATGTGTTTACATTAGCATGGACGACATGGAGTCGATTGAAGAATCAACGTTTCGACAATCGTTGGCCACAGTCTCCTCTGATTGGTCACGACCATCTCGAGTTACCTGTTTGGGAACATCCAGCCGATCGCGCAGTCCCCAAATGTTTCTCTCCGCAATGACGAGTCATAGGATAAGCGCTTGCCTGGTAGGAGTTATCCTCGGTGTTGTTGCTTGTCGTCTTCGGACATGTAAACATGGACCCGCAGACCCAGAGAGCGTTTTACATTGGCACACAAAGAAGCAGGCTGGCCGTCGATAAACCAACGCATCGACCGACATGTGACGGCGAGCGTTGGGAGTGGGCAGAGTTTCGCGCATCCTCCATGCAAGGTGTTGTTGTTCTCTGTTGACGCTGCGGCTCCCAACCTCTCTTCGCGAACTGGGCGAGTCAGACGCCACGCAAGGTATAGCTGTAGAGTGAGGGTGAAACGACATAGGCAATTGCAGAGCGTCTGCAGCACGAGCGAAGTGACAGCGGCCAGTAAATGCACGCCTACGCTCATGCAGGTGATTGGCGTCGCGGCGTGTAGGCGATTATCAGCCCCAGCCTTCCGATGCACGTCCGCTGCGGCTTGCCCTTGTGGCAGACGTGCTAGCGGGCTTAACCTCGCTGATATGGAACATTCTAGCATCGTTTTTAGGACCAAAATCCCAGCTTAATTTTTATCCGCTCTGGATCTCAACCAACAGTCGCTGCAGCCAGACTAAATTTCTAGTGACACCATCCAGGCCGCTATCCTTCCGCAGCTCGCCCCCATGGTTCTTCCCTCCTTCTTCGCATCCTCAAAGAAGTCGTCCAAGACCAGAGATATCCCCAACCTTGCCCCCCGACCTTCACCCCAGGCTACCGCGGGCACCCCTCCTGCCTCGCCTGACAAGCACACCCACTCCAAGGTGAAAGACCGGGAACGCTCCTCCAGCCGCCGTTCGAGCTCGTACTCGTCCAAGCGTTCCTCCAAGTACGACCGCGACTCACACCCGCTAAATCTGCCGCCTGAGGAACGCCAACGCCTGTCCTCGCAAATGTCCGCCATGGACCAGCCCACACCCCAGCCAATGGACGTCGACCGGGAATACTCGTCCTCGCCCGCACCCTCGAGCCCGGTAGCAGACGCCCCAAAGACGAATGGCGCCAACGGCGCCCCAGACGGGCCCGCTCCTCCTCCCCACAGATACACAAAGAGCCCGCCGCCGCCCACAGCAAACTACGCTGCCACCCCCGAGGCTGCCACCCCGCCTGCTGAGCCCCCGACCATAGACGCTGAGGAGTACAAGGCTGCTGGCAACAAATTCTTCAAGATCAAGGATTACCCACGCGCCATCGAGGAATACTCCAAAGGTGCGTAGTCATACTTGCCATGCACTAGCCGCAGCTTTGCACTACACAACACACCAAGGAGAGCTTCGGGCTAACCAATCCGCAGCTATCGAGGCCGACCCCAAGAATGCCACCTACTACTCGAACCGGGCCGCCGCCTACATTTCCGCCAACAAGTTCTACGAGGCCATGGAGGACTGCAAGATGGCCGACGAGCTGGACCCCAACAACATGAAGATCCTGCTGCGGTTAGGCAGAGTATACACCAGTCTGGGACGGCCAGACGAGGCTGTGCAAGTATACGACTCCATCAATGCCACGGCCAAAGACAAGCAGCCTGCCTTGACAATGCAAAAGCACCTCCGCATGGCCGAGGACACTGCACGGAACGAGGGCTCGGGCTCCATGGTCATCTACGCTCTTAACGAGGCTGAGAAGGGCCTCGGTGCTGGTGTAGACAAGCCCCGAAAGTGGCAGCTTATGCGGGGAGAGGCACACCTGCGCATGGGCAATGCCAATGCGCTTGGGGAGGCACAGAACGTTGCCATGTCGCTGCTACGGTATAACAACCAGGACCCGGATGCTCTCGTGCTTCGCGGTCGCATCCTATACGCCCAGGGCGAGAACGACAAGGCTGTCCAACATTTCAGACAAGCGCTTGCCTGCGACCCTGACTTCAAGGCTGCTGTGAAGTACCTTCGCATGGTTCAAAAACTGGACCGCATGAAGTCGGAAGGTAACGCTGCCTTTAAGTCTGGCAGGTTCCAAGAAGCCATCGACACCTACACCCAGGCGCTAGAAGTCGATCCCTCGAACAAGGGCACAAACTCCAAGATCCTTCAGAACCGAGCCCTTTGCCACAGCCGGCAAAAGAGCTGGAAGCAAGCCATTGCCGACTGCGAGAAGGCGCTGGAACTCGACCCAAGCTACACAAAGGCACGGAAGACCCGGGCAAAAGCCTTGGGCGAGAACGGCAACTGGGAGGAGGCTGTGCGTGATCTCAAGGCCATCCAGGAAGAGAACCCGTCGGAACCTGGAATCGCCAAGGAAATCCGCGATGCCGAGATGGAGCTCAAGAAGAGCAAGAGGAAAGACTACTACAAGATTCTCGGTATCGAGAAGGATGCCACAGAGCAACAAATCAAGAAAGCATACCGAAAGCTGGCCATCGTACATCACCCAGACAAGAACCCTGACGACGCGGATGCTGCAGACAGGTTCAAGGAGATCCAAGAAGCACACGAGACTCTGAGCGACCCACAGAAACGTGAACGGTACGACTCCGGCGCTGATCTTGTAGACCCCAACGACATGTTCGGTGGGGGCGGTATGGGTGGAGGCATGGGTGGCATGGGTGGTGGCATTGACCCAGAGATCCGTAAGTACAATAACCACTGTGAGAAAACATTCACAGCTAACAAAAGGCACAGTCATGCAAATGTTCGGTGGCATGGGTGGAGGCATGGGAGGCGGCCGTGGCGGAGGAGGTGGTTTCCACTTCAGCAGCGGCGGTGGCGGCAGTCCATTCGGTGGTATGGGTGGTATGCCCAGCGGTGGTCGAAGAGGAGGACCACCCGGTGGCTTCCCCTTCTAAGCGCCTCATTTATACCCACACAACCCCCACGACGACGCTCCGGTTCAAAAACAGCATCCTCTCTTTGATTCGTGTGTATACCCTTGGCAGAACACTTCCGACAGATTTCATTCACTGGCGTTGGATACAGGAGACGCGCGAGCAGTAGATGCATAGACGGTCGTTCGGATCGCTCTCCTGTATTTGGGTGGGATGCGAAGCATTGATTTTCACGTTGGCTCCCGAGGGATTTAGCATTGCCTGGCGTCTCTCATTACTATTTTGTGCATGAAACCCACCTCTAAGAAATGTCTGCCGTATGTGACGTGTTGGAATTAGTAGTGTAATGCGAATTTTTTTTTAAAAAAAGTTAACGACCAAGGGATTGTCTTCGTGCTCGTGACGTACAGACAGAGATGGCCTCCCGACACAAGGACGAGTCGCAATGGTGTTCGTGTACAATAGCCGTTGTGGTGGATCGTTCATGTCGTGACATTTGCAGCAGAAATCGTACCGAATCGTGTGCAAAAGGAGCCAATGACGTCATACACACTAAGGTCTTGTGAAAACCGTCCAGTAGCATTTCGCATGACCTTGATTTCCATAGTGCCCGAGACCTTAATTCTTATTCTTTCTACCTCAATTAGTAGTAACCCCATCGAAGGTTTTTCTCACGAGTATCATTCCAACAATAGCACCACTTCGTATAAACCCTGAGCTGGGAAAACTTACTCCTTGTTTGGTACGTTAGGTTTTCGCAAGTGGTTTTGACAACGTTCAAAGGGAGCATAAAGTCTATTCAGACTGCACCACCAGTAATAGCTACTCGAGCATTCTTTAGAAGACAAGGACCTTCTGAGAGGCGCCTCTACACTCTCTCCACCCTCTACAGATCGTGCCACGTAACCGTACGATTGAATGTCTACAATGCAACCTTCCAGACGCGGCCGTCCAAACCGCCAAACACCCACGTCAGGACTATCACGAGGCGCCCACACACCGCGGGACCGCGGTGACTCTACGCCATCCTCCATCTACAATTCCGAGGCCAACTTCCATGTCTCAGATTACCGGGGACGAGGACGAGGACGAGGTCGAGGTCGAGGTAGAGGCAGGGGCCGTGGTGGACCGAACTTCAGATCGGACCCAGACTATCCTCCCGTCCCATCCTTCGCTTCTCTCAACCCCGGTACAGCTGTTTCCATCATCCTCAAACAAGACCAGCCCACCGGACACCAAGTCCGCGGTATTGTAGCAGACTTGCTAACGCGTGGCGATCATCCCCGGGGTGTGAAAGTAAGGTTAAGGGATGGAAGGGTTGGTAGGGTACAGAAACTTGTCTCCGAGAGCGAAGGAACGCAGGGTGAGGCTGTTGTTGGTGGCGCTGGTGCGGGGCTGGGTAGGGATGGTGAAGGTGGGGGAAATGGTGTAGAGAGGAGACCGGGGAGGATGGTTGGTGGGAGAATAGAGAGGGATATTAGGGATGAGGATGAGTATCTTTATGATGAGAGGAGGAGGAGACAGCCTGCGGATGTGGGAATATTTGCTGCGCTGGAAGAGGCGGATCGGAGATATCAGGGAACTGGGAGTGGAGAGTTGAGGAAGCCTCAGGTTGCGATATGTCCGGTGTGTGAAGATTTTGAGGGAGATGAGGCAGCTGTTGCACATCATGTTGAGGAGCATTTTGGGGGATGATGGAATTGGAAATGGTGGGTTGATTTGCCATCTTGCTCTGCTTGAAAGGGTCTTTCATGTATACGACGTCGAGCAGTGGTTAACTATCTCCGTCGTGTCAAGGTCTCTAACATGCCTTGCGTAAGTGACCATATATATCTCTGAGCCCTAACAACATCTTTGCCGTCGCGCCTGCACCACAGTATGGTATCGGCAGTAACACATTCCCCCTTCCCCGTTTTCATCGCCATCTCACTTGTAGACTACATCCAGACCACGCTTCTCGTCCACATAGTTAAACTCATCCCTAAGAAGCCAGAACTTCGCACCTTTTCCTTCCTGGATGCGCCCATGAGCCTTGTGGTGGTTGATCACATTCTGTCGGCGTTTACTATAGACCTTGACGAACTGCTCGTCTTCCTTCCAATCCTTGAAGATGCTCGACGCAACCCATCCTGCGTTAGGTAGACGCGAAGAGTTTCTTCCGTCGGGAAGATTCCTAGTATTGATGTGGTCGCAATCGAAGGCACGAAATGCTCTGTTGGCCATATCGAGGTCGATGACATTGTCGAGAGCGTTCCACCTGAGCTCGTTGAGTTTGTCTTTCAAGATTTCAATCTCATTCTCCGGCACCTCAATCTCAATCTCAGGGCGGTCTTGGGATGTCGCATGTCTGGGAGTCTGGATGTTCACACCCACCTGGGCCTGCGAACAGCCTGAAAGAAGTCTACAACGGTGTGAGTGAGATACTCAATGGAGAGGAGGAAGATGGATGGGTAACGGAGGTGCTGGGAGTAACCCGCTGCATTCTCAGAACATAAGATGATGATGTCACACTAAAGAAATCAAGCGTGGTTGGTCTGTCGCGAAACCTAAGATCATCAATCGTTACGTACCTTTTCGGATCCCTTTGAGTCCTTGAGTTGCTCACGCGAGACTCCTGCACCTCAGCTTCGAGGTTGGAGAGCCGTGCCCTAAAAAACTCTGCATCTGCTTCGCTCGCTGAGCGCTGTTCGGTAAGCAGTTTGTTTGCTTTGGTAAGCCTTGCGACCTTATCTTCCTCGACCGCCAGCTTTCGCTGCAGATCAGCGATCCGTCCTTGGCTTGCAGTGTTATCGCTCGATTGAGATGTTGCTTCATCCAATTCTTGTTCTGCAACATGAACATCCCCGCGAACCGCGGCAAGCTTCACAATGAGGCGATCATAGGAGTTCTGTGGTCGAGCGCACGAGTGCGATATTCCTTGCGCCGCACCAGTAATATCAGCCAGTTCGACATCCTTGTGTTCCAGAGCGGCTTCGAGCACTTCCATCTGTGCCCGCAGCGCCTCAGCTTCCGACGTCGTGGTGGTGTGGGTAGCCTTTTCCTGCTCGAGATTCTGGTTCAGAGCCTTGACCGTATCAATTTCACTCTGCAGGCGCTGGACTTCGACTTCTAGATCGCTGTTCTTGCGGTCTGCAACACTCAGTTTAAATCTCAATCTAAACAGGTCCCTCTCTTCATCGCTGTCGGAGGCGTTGTCTTCTGATGCGACCGTGCTGCTAGATAGCATCTGATATCGCTGCTGTCGACTCGGATGCATCCCGGCGTAGGTATCATCGTCATCAGAGTGCGCGTATGCCATTTTCCCCCGAGTAACTGATTAATTTGACGCGATTGTGGGTGGTGTGTGTGTGCTGGCTAGCTGGGAGTCGCTCCTACTTGATCTGTGTAGCAGAGTCTATGGTGCTTGGCAGAACGCTTCCGCCGAGAAGGAAGGCGTGCAAGAGCCTGGGGCAGGCATAATATTTGCAGGACTAGAAAATGGTGAACGAGGAAAGTGAGGGTTGCGAGGCCACCTGAGCGTTGCTGGTAGCTCTGTCACGGGCCACATGCTGTGAGACAGTACCTAGGTATGAGAAAGCTGTCAGCAGAGATGTCGAAATTGAGGAGGTATTTGGAAGATTGCTTACCTGGGAAACAAGATATAGGACGAAGAAAAGAACAATGCTATCTGCTATATTTGGAGTACAAGAAGTAGATCCATGAGAGTTGGCAAAGAGCTTTGATACATTCTATAACACGCGATCCGATGACGGCTGATGCACACAACATCATCTTTTGGCGATGAGAAGCCGACAGTAATAGAATAGGTAATACAGATTATGGGGGACTCTAGCGATGTGTTCGTTGTGTATACGGCCATGAGAAATACAAGTAAAACGATGGCGACAGCAACGGCTGGCATCAGGTCGTACACTTATGGTGGCTCATACTTACTCATTACCTGCCAGGGTCGCTTCTCCGTTGGCGGCAACATTGATACCATTAGATCCACCAATAGACTTACTGCCATCCGAACCTTCTGTAATGCCTAGATTTCCGCCTAGATTGTCTGCGTTGCCATCCTGGCCGAGAGTGATACCAGACTCTTCAGAGAACCTTTCAGATTCTTCAGTAGCCTTGACACCATTTGACTTTTCTCCCGTTGCCTCTTGAGCTTCCTTCTCGGCTTCCTTCTTCGCTGCCTCTCCTTCGGCGCGGCCAGGCTGGTTTTCTGTACCAGCGCCAGCGCCGGCCTCAGATTTTGCTGGCTTTTGCTCTTCCGTGGCAGCAGGCTTCTGCGCTTCAGCAGCGGAGTTTCCCTCCTCGGCAGTAGCGGGCTTTTCGCCTTTTGTTGCTGAAGACTTGGGTGCCTCTTCAGTCGTCGCTGTACTGTTTCCCTTCTGGTTTCCGCCGAGCTTAAGACCGTCGCCAGTAATTCCGCCACCTGGGCCACCCAGAGTGAGTCCTCCAATCGTGAGACCACCTCCTCCACCTCCTTGTTTTTGAGCTTCGCGACGGCGGCTTCCCCCGTTGGTCAACGAGTCTAGACTCTGAAAGTCTGCGTCGCGTCTAATGGGGTGCGCTCGGTACGAGCGGGAAACAAGAGCTGATTTCGTCTATCACACGGATAAGCATATGCTACAGACCAAATATCGAACGATGCCAAGGTAGTGTCGAATTTGGATATACTTACTGCCCATAGTGTGCGGGGAGGAACGACGAAAGCATCTACGCACGATATGACCAGAAGACCGAGAGTCAGTTCGAGAGAGAGCTTCATGTTGGCTGATTAGATACTCTGGAAAAAGGGTGTGTAAAGAGAATAGCTGTCCGGCAGCAAAGTTAACAGAAAACCAAAACGAATTGAGGATGTTACCAGAAAGCTTATCAAAGGTCAGTTGGAGATCTGTACTGTAGATAAGTCTTTTCCAAGCCCATGAGTCTCAGCAACATATGCTTACCCGAGCCACCGTCTAGTGCGTACATTGGCATTGCCGGAACCTGCATAATGGAACGCATCCACAACGTTTACAGGTCAGCTTGGCAATCGTAAGTGGTCGGAGCACTGTGTCAAACGCCAATGCGCGGCATGGTCGACCACTCGCTAGGATGTTGGGGTCGCTCATGTCGCAAAAGCGTCGCAGCTCCCGTCTGGGCCCTGATGGTCGTGTTCTAACCATTCGGCCCTCGTAAAGCCGTCTTGGAAGAATCAAGTAAGAAAGACAAGTCATGGCTAAGCTTCTGGATGGTAATTTTGTGATGCTAGGAAAGCCAAGAACGAATTTGAATCGAGACACGAATTGCGGTTTGAGTATACCGGTTCTGTGTTGAAACAGAGTCTACAGGTCGTACGATTCTTCTGTTAAAGAAAACTTAAGGTGTTGCTGAGCGCATTGAAAGACCTGTTTGGTGACAGTAGGTTTGCTCTTGTCAGGACATGATCGGAAGCACATGTTCCAAGGTCACGACGACCTTTAAGTGGCGACAAATGTACGCGAGTGGAGAGGGAACACGAACAACAATACACAATATCGATCTGAAATGGAACGAATTGGCGATGAAATTGATGAGCGGGACGTGGCTATCCCGTCGAGTGCGGGCTGGGAAACCACGCGAAATTGACACGCTAGCGACAATGACTAAGCCTATGCGACGAGATTCTCGGGGTCGACTGTTCTTGCGGAAGCTCTTAGGCTCACAATTCATGTCAGCATGTCACATCATGACGTTCCGTTGTTGTCTGCACCGAACAACCATGACGCTCTCACGGATCGAAGTGATGCTGTATTGGTTGGGGCCGTGCCACATTTTATGTGAGTATGAGATTACATGATACGTTATCATTTTTTGGACTTGCCTCTCATGCTACGGCTTAATCAGCTTCAACATGTGTTCCTTATCCAATATGTGCGGCAAGCTAATATGACCTCGGTAAGGTAGATGGCTACAACCTTTCCACTGCGCTTTCTCCGCCTAGATAGATTCGCATACTTCAATACCACCCCAACCAAGCCTACTCGTGCCGGCACGTCTTAGCCGTTGTAGAGACGCTCTCCATCGTCTCTATATTGCTGGAAAGCCTCGTGTAGTGACTCCACGGTCTCACCAGGGAAAAGATGCAGGAAGAATGCGTACCCTTTTTTGCGCTTCACCTTCCACATGAACAACTGCCGCTTCGCGTCGTCATTCCAACCGGTGAAAATGAATTGGCTTTTGTTAGTAGATGGGGTGTCTTTCACCATGTCGCGGGGATGTGCAGTAGAGGCTTGTGAAGCGCGACTGGATAGGCCAACAAGATTCTGAGAGGAAGAGTCTGTAAGATGGTGGGTTAGCCGGAAGACTAACAACAGATTTCAGGTCATCGTTTACCTGCGCCACGATCTAAATAGACTCCTAGATCTTGTGCTGGTCCACTAAAGCCAAGGCCACCCAAGTCAAGTGATCCTCCTAGTGCCTGGGTCTGCCTGTGGTCTCGAGAGAATGCCGCGGCTGGGAAGCCTCCCAAAGTCCGAGTATTGTTCCTGTCTGCCTTGGTATCTGGCTGAGCATGACGAGGAACCACGAAAGCCTCGCCAGTCCAGACCCTACCGTCTGCATAACGCCAAGCCTGATCCGGGTCTTCCCACGAGGGTGGGTCCGCCGCTGGAGCTATCCGCTAAAGTCAGTTCGGAGTCTACAGATGGAGATATTCTTAGTTACATAGATTGTGTAGTCGGTTGACCGATCCACGTGGCTGCATAAATGAAGAGGCGAAATCTCCGTTATTGTTTGGAAAGAGCGATTCGCCTAGATGTCTCAGGGGACGGTATCCACGATTAGAAGGCTCTGCTGGCGGATGGTCGTTTTTCTTATCAGGTGAACCAGCCATTTGTAGTATAAGGAAGGTATCTATTAGGGTTTCTGTTGGAGAGAAAATGACACTACGGGAAAGAAACGTATGAGCCCTCGAAAACAGATAAACCAAAACAATATTGATAATGATCGCGAATTTTGATCTTTGTACATGTTAAGTGAAGGCAAGAGTAATTGAGTCAAACAATACTTTGCCCCTCAAAGACGACTTCACCTTGTTGTTTCTTGACTCACCAACAATCTACCTGCCCTTTGTTCAATAACATTCGAAAGTCTGCTCGTATCATCGTGTGAGAGCGATGGTCATCTGGGACGCAAGAGTGCTGACTACTTCCAGGCTACAGTGAATCGTGGTGCTGGACTTCATATCGTCATTGGTATCATATGAAGGAAGAATGAAAAGTGAGTGACCATACAGATCAGAAGCAACGAGTGAATTTAATGGTCCGACTATTGCAATTCGCTCACACTAAAACCCAGAAGCTTGCCATCGGCATTGTCTTTCTGTGCCCTTGTCAATAGTGGGCTGAGCTCTTCTCCGACTCGCTCGTACTTTCTTGCATACAAATCCCTTGATAGAAATGGGAATACATGATTCCTTGAACCATAGTTTCTCTGGTACTGGTAGTTTTGCAAGGCAGGACTTCCATGACCCATTAGGGTGACAACTGGCTACGGTCCCTTGTCTGAAACGTTGCTAGTGTATCCCGCGTATCACGAGGGTGGATAGGCTTGAGCTCGCTGACAAGGTCCTGAATTAAGAAGTCAGGTCTCAAGCCAGAGGTCTGCAGCAATCCCATTTACCTATTGCGCAGATGTGTGAGGTGCTCGCTAGGCGCCGCGATATTGACTAGGAATTGCCGGGACTGTCAAGAAGTTGTCTGAAAGCCTTATCAGTCATGAGATATACAAAAAGTACTACAAGACACCTCTTGCCATACTTAAAGCGGTGCCGAAGGTTTGTCGGCATGCGCCAACAATCTCGTACAAAACCTTATTGTCGATATGGTATGATAATTCTATGAAGCTTCAATGAAGCGCAAGCACCGGACTTCTAGAAAGATTGGGCAGTAGTTTGAATACGCGATCGAGAGCTATCTTCACTTGAGCGGCCAATGTGTTGTTGACAGCTGGCAATATCATTTCGAAGAGGTTATGTGGCAGGCCAGATACAGTTAGCGTTCTGCGCCACAGCTGTGGCCGAACATAACGTCATTGTTCTCCATCTCGCTTCACAGCAGCTGCCCACTTCCTACAATCTCTACAGTACTGACGGCAGACGTCCTTCTTCTCACACAATCGAATTTGATAGCTCGTATTTTTGCGCTGTGGTTGAAAGCCACTTTGTCCATTGGACTGCAGTTTCCTTACCTACAGGAGTTAAAACAGCAACCTCCAGCTCAACCGAGCACATCACCCATCTCCCCTACAACCATGGCAACGCGTCGTAAACCAGACAGCGACACAGACAACGGTGTACCTCTCACAGCGGGCATGCCCGGCGGTACCATCCGCCCACCGACCTCATCGGCGCGTCGCTCCCCCTTCCTCCCTACGCGCCTCGAAGCACAACTCATCGCCATCTACCCATTGACACTCCTCCTCGGTAGCGTCTTTAGCATAATTTCGCCTTCCAATCGAGCCGCGCCCTATTCCGCAACCCTACAGTCTCACCCTACCGAATTTGCGCCCTCATACTTTGCGCAGAAAAAGAACATCTTCAATGTATACTTTGTCAAACAAGGATGGTTCTGGACTACACTAGCATTTGCTGTCTTTGTTACCTTCCATCCTGGTTTCGGTCAGGGTGCGAGTGCGAGGCGCATCCGAGCGGTCATGCGATATGGTGTTGTGACGACTTGGTGGTGCTTCATGACACAGTGGTTCTTTGGACCGCCGTTGATCGATCGCGGCTTCAGGTTCACTGGAGGTCAATGCGAAATAATAAGAGATCCCGAGGCGAGGGAAGAAATGAGCAACACAAGAGAATATATCACGGCTGCGACGTGTAAGGCAGTTGGTGGAACTTGGAAGGGTGGTCATGACATCTCTGGACATGTCTTCTTGCTTATTCTTGGCTCATCGCTTCTGTGGTTGGAATTCCTGCCTGCGTTGACGCGTGTAGAAGGGCTGAGAGACGGAAGGTTGATCACTTTGCCAGATGGCAAGGTTGCAAGTGTTGCAGTGGAGAAAGAGCTGGTGAAGTCTGAGGGTGAAGCTACCGCGCGTGGCGTCAAGTTCGCGCTCGGTGTCGCGGCGCTGATGTGGTGGATGCTTCTCATGACAGCTGCCTACTTTCATACTTGGTTTGAGAAGTTCACGGGCCTGCTAGTCGCATTCGCAGCGCTGTGGACTGTCTACTTCCTCCCAAGAGGCGTTTTCCAGGTTAGAGCGTGGTTGGGTATGCCTGGTGTATGAAAAATTTACTGTGTAGTAGCGAACTGCAGGAGTGGCGGTGGGCATTCATCTTGCAGATCGCATGGCGGCGATCGCAAAACAAGCCGAGAGCGGCGACGACATAGACTGCATGGCGAGTTGGTGAGTTGACGAGTCAAGCGCTTGAGCAAAAACATAATGAGTATAGTATTGTTTAATGGCATATATTACCACTTCATCCTGTGTTCGACAACAGGCTCATTAGGTCATAGACGTCATTTTCGAGCAAAAGATGGTATGATTTCAGAATGATACCAAAGGCAAATCCCTTGCCGTTGTCGCTAACACTAGGTATTCCGGGAATCCCTCCGTGCCGCTCCCTCTACAATCTCGGAGCTACACCAACGGTTTTCTAGTGACAGGCATGTTGTGTTCCGGGCAACACAGGGCTAGTGTACCCGGTGTGAGATGGCAGCTGCAGCCTTTGACAGGACCGTTGACCACATCTACCGCGGCTAAACCTCGCATCGACCCAGAGTTACACCGCGCCCA